ATTCGTACAAGCTTAAAATGTCCACGAATGCATAAATAGCAGCCTCAAATAATATTCACAGAACATGTTATTAGGCAGTCTTTTGCTGCTCAAGAGGTATGTTTATTTCAATATATAATTGAATATATATTTAATTTTTTATAAATAAATTTAAAAAAATACATCTGATATTTTATTACAATTATAGATTCCAATAATTGCAACGATAAATCCTACTGAAGCAGAATTGGAAACATTCTGGTATACAAATCTTTCGCTACCAATTGATAACCAACATCATACACTAGACAACATTGTCAATGGTGAATTGGACAATGTAACAAAACAAATTCCAACAGATAACATACATACACAAGAAAGAACTATCCACATTTCAAATGGAATTGAATCTACTTCTTCTGGTAGCTCAAACTATATAACTAAACAAGATATGGAACAAATGTTCAATATACATAGACAAGATGTCTTTGGTTTCTACGACAGCTTAAAAACACAGATGATTCAAGAATCAACAAAGAAAGAAGCTCAGTATCATACAATTTTTGAAAAATAAGAAGCCCTCTGTCAGACAATTCTTGACAATCAGAAACAATTTTTTGAACATCAGCAAAAAGACCAACAAGACTATTTCCAGGGCATACAATCTAACATGCAATCTTATGTGGATACCAGTTTCAGTTTAACGAAGTCTTACATTGATGAACAAAAATTGAAATATGCAGAATTAGTTATCCGATTGGAAATCACGCACGGAAACAATTGTCGCCTCTATACAACGAGATGTGCCTTCTCATACAAGTCCAGTTGAATTCGAAATTCCTTCAACATCTAAACATACAAAAAATGTTGAAAGATCGACTAAAGAAGAAAAAGGTAAGCAGAAACAGACACAATCTCTATCAACAACGCAAACTACTTTTTAGAAGACTATAACATCGACAAATACAAAAAAATTAAAGAATTGATATCACAAAATCCATCAGATAAGTTATTAAATTTAACCTCGGTAACTTAAATATTCTAATTTGTATTTTACTTATTTGACGACAATTTAATTTTTTCTTAAACAGCGCATACTGGAAAGATGAAATCGACAATCTATACGGAAGACAGTCGCTAATAAATATAATAAATCTAACTAAAGATATAAATATTGTGGTAAGTCAACTTTAGTAATCATAATTAATTTTACTCCATTAATAATTTATCTAATTTACATTTTTTTACTAACATATTGATATAGAATTAACGTTGTTGAGAAGACTTATTCATGATGGATTTCCCCCGTTTTCTAAAGAATATGCAATCATGAACTTTAGATTCGAGAATGAATGTGTTCATTAGTATTCAATTATAAAAGGAGGAGCTGCCCATTCTATAAGTAATTTCAATGCATTACAACAGTACATAAAAGGAGAATTACCTGTATTTGCTCGTCCGTGGATAACATACAACTATTTATTGATTCCATCTGCATATCCAGGCAACATTTGATTTCTTTTTCTTATCGACTTTCAAAAGTGAAAATTTCATGTATATGATTGTAGCTACAACATTCATACACCAGACGCAATTAAATTACATGCAGAATCAGTTTTGACTGTAGTACAATCATTATTGATATCTCCAGACATTTTTTTCGGCAAACCAAGCTTAAGAAAACATAGAAATAAACATATGAAATTGAAAATCATACCATATCTACCTTGTCAAAATAATGGGTAAGCATTTCAACGATTTACTATAATATTTGATTTTCTATTTAATTTTATTTTACATTTACAACATTAACATAAACTAAATTCAAGTTACTTTTTGCTATAGGCCAAATTCTGGAGTTTTCCTTCTCAAATACATTGAATGCTTCGTTTTCGAATATCCATTAGAAGTGATTTCACCAGAGAAGATACAAATGAAAGATTGTCACAGATATCTATCAGAATAAATATTTTTACGTCCATATTTATCCTAACCATAACAAATTATGAAAATTCAGTAAGATTCCTTTATCAAAATTCAATCTATAATCTTATATTCATAGCTTCAAAATTACTTATTTTAAATATTCTATACATTGGAATAAATGTAGGTTTTTCGATGGCAAATATGAGATATTAAAGCTGTTCCAACTTCAGGTTTCACAAAATGGGAAATGGAATGAGGAAAAAGTATCAATGTTGGTTCCTTCGAACATAGTTAATATCAAACTTGAAGATTCAGCCCCACCTAACTATTATTCTATTAGCTAGATGCATCTGGTACCAGAAGCTAAAGAAACTCAGTAAGCTGGTGATCCACGTATACTTTAACAGGAGTTGATATATCTTCATTTATTAATTTTGTACTCTAAATGTTCAATTTCAATATCTATTATAGTGGTTTTGAATTTGAAGGAGTCAATACTTTTGTTGTTTAAGTCTGTAAAATGGTGCTGAAGTTACTTTTATCTTGCTGAATGAAGTTTAATTCTTAAGACAAGATTAGTGTTGTTTAATTTAACATTAATTGTGTTTTTGAATCTCACTACCCACTTCACCACTATTTTATGTATTTTTGTAATACAAACAAGCTAAAGATGTTATAAAAGTTATAAAGAATACCTGGGAAGCAAAGATTCAAACACACAATTGTTTACAGTACTGGTAAGTACTTATAGGGTATATAATTTTTTTTTTTTTGCTTGTTTTGATGGATCTCTTTTAGTTACGGTGGATTGTATATGTCCCCCTGATCACTTGCTTTGAAGCATTGATAAGACTTTGTTTTTTGTCGGATTTACAGCTTCTTGAGATGTTGATGAACAATATTGGAGAACATGTTTATCATCAGGTTATAGGCACAGCCACGGATGGGTATTCTTCCTATATTTGTGATGATAGTTAAGAAAAAGGTAGAAATTATTTTCCATGTCTTATTCTCAGACATTTATTGATTAAATTAATAGAAGCAATTTTTTATCACTGTTCGTACACCCTGATATTTGTGTAAAGGAAAGGATATTTCTCTTCTTAGATGCAACTCAAACATCTGTGGTAGAAATTATTGGGAGGTTTCCTCAATATTATTATGCTTATTGTGAATTAGTGATAAGTACAGAGCAAACCATATATTAATTGCAAGCTTTTAAAAATTTAAATCGAAATCCATATTAAGAAAATGTTGCTTGAGACTTTGAGCCATTTTTGTCCTACTCTCTTCTACATATCACTTGTCCATATAATTGAATTCTGTCAATCTTGCTTCTCTAGGCAGTGGTGATCATATAATTGGTTGATTCCTGGTGCTATTTATTACTGAAGTGATTAGGTCTTGAATCTTCGAATCTGATGAATGTGCAATCAGAGTCTTTTCGTCAGTGTAGAATACATTTCCTTGGTTGATGAAAGGGCTATTGGCACTGAACTTATTCTTTATTTCTTGCTGCATCAGCTGATGGTTGTCTCTTTAGTTCTGATTTAAGTGGCAAAACAGAATTTAAAAATATGCTCACTTTCTTCTAGAAATATGACCCATCATTCAAGGAATATCTTCTTATTAATCAAAAGGGAAATCTAGGATTACATAGCTCCAAGGAATTCAATTGAGCTCGCTTGTAAATGTTAAGTGAACACATCCTTGACATAAGTCATCACCTTTTTTTAATTTCATATTAATTTGTTGGGCAATCCAAAAAGTTCCGTTATTCAATCAATCAAATTGCTACAACTTAGACAAGTTTGATGAATCCGGAGAGTGTGTAGAAACAAAAAAGACAATGGATGCCATGGGAATAAGTTCAAAGGAACAGGTATAAAGGACAATTGTTTCATACTCAAGAAGTGTTTTTTTTGCTAACTCTATTTCATTTGCAAATGACAAAAAAAGAAAAAGAAAAAAAAGATGAGAAATATAATATATCACTAGACAACTAAACCAAATTAGAGATAGTGCAATTTTCTCATCATATATATTATGCAAAAAAATAAATTGAGATATATTTATCAGATTCTTTTTCTAAATGTATAGCATTAAAAAAAATGTAAAATATGTACAAAATTCTTTAATAAACCTTTCGCTTATTTACCCTTCGTTCAAATAATTAACATGTAAATATTTAACTTTCAACATTGTACCAATTATTATTTTCAAAAAATATTAGATGTAGTCTATAAGCGCTAAATGATGCTTCTTGCTTTTTCTCAATTTGTGCTTTGCTTTTAGATCTCCATTTCCATCCAACTAAAACATACACTTTCAAAATGATAACAGAAACAACCAAGAAGATCCTAATTTTTATGAATATAAAAACATATCTTTGTTCAACAGTTTCTTAATGAAAAACTTTTTCATTACTCCTCCCGCTTTGAACATAATTTACCTTATACAATTATTAACATTCAAAACGCTAATATCACCCTCCAAATAATACAATTCGTGCATTGCACGGAGCCTAAACTAGTATATTAAAAAGTTATTTTTTATTTAGTCAAAGTCAAATATTTAAATTTTAAGAAAATTTGAAGATTTGCACGTAATAAAACTTTTCAATCAATAAAAATTTGCACATTGTCATTTATATATAAAAAAAAAATTCCAATTTCTAATTCACTGTATTTCCAAAGATAATAATATTTGGAATGTCTTAAACATGAAGCGATTCCTGGCTAACAAATATTATTGGAACTCAAAAACAAATTATGTAGATGATACATCAAATGAATTAATTTATTTCAGTAATTTCCTGCTTTACCGTGTTTATGTTTTAAAAATTTCAATTTTGTTTTTTATGTACTAAATTCAATTTGTAAAATTGTGTTTTCAATAATCCAAAACCCTTTTTTATAAGAGAAAAACGTTTGTTAACTTGCAAGTCCACTTGGCATACATCTACTGGCTATCTCACTATCACCTGGATCTATGTTTGTTGTTCACTCATCTAGACTGTTGATCTAATCTAACGGCTGAGGCTTAAATGTAAATAGTTTTGACCTTTGGGTTGGCTTAGACGGTTTGAAGAGGTTCATCTCATTCTCCTCTCATTTTCTTGGTTTTCTTCTCCGAGTCTCTGGCATTTTTTGGTCTCTCTAATATCATCACCTCCGATTTTCAAATCTGTAGGTCATTCTTTATTGTAAATCAGATATTGACGTTGATTTGTGGCCTTTGGTTTGTTGTAATCTCAGGCTTGCGTTGTGGCCTGTGTATAGTGTTCATGACAGGAAGTTTAGAGGCTTCTTTAGGTTGGTTTTGAGCTGTAAAGAACTATTCTACACTTGTGTCGGTTAGGTGGTGTGATTGTGAGACCTGTTATAGATCGATGATCTACTAATTAGGTCAGTGATCTGATTGTTGTACTCTAAACTTAATCTCTCTTTTGAGAGGTTCTTAAATATAGTGATGGGTTCTTACGTCTGAGTCCCCCGAGTAGGCTTTGTCAAATTGGTTGAGCATTTCTTGTGTTGATTATTACTGTTTTCGTGGGTCTATGTTTCAATTTTCTGAATATTGCTTCGGTTGGGTGGCAAAATCCCAATAAACTGGTATCGGAGTCTGGTGAGGCGTGGGTAAGGCATCTATGAAATTTGATTTAAAGTTATTGATCTATGCAATACCAATAACTCGAACTGAACGGAATATTCGGTTCTGAAATCAGCACTGGAGTTTGGTTGAATATTTTTATACACTATTTGATGAGATTGTTCCTATACAAATTTACAGAAATTGATTTGCGTGATTTAATTATTAATATGTGAATCTATTGATACTGTGATTTGTTTTATTCAAGAATTGGATAAATTATCTAATTGTAATAGGAACACGTTTAGGATACCAGTTTCTTTAGTTTGACTGAGTGTTACTATCTGCGAAAAATCTAAAATCGTTTCTTCTTGTTACTATTGCAGTCTGCGTATATTATATTGCTGTTGTTTTTCATTCGGAGATCAGCTTAATTGTCATTAACTGCAAAACTTTTTATGCAACTTAAGTGATTTCTCATATTAAGAATCACTAATGTCAACGAGTAATAGCTACCCTTTTATAGAACCTACAATGGGTTCGATGGTCGAATTATCACAATTCGATGGAAAGGGGGGTTACTTTATCTGGAAGTGGAAAATGAGGGTTATATTGGTCCAACAAAGGATTGCTAAAGCCTTGGATGATCTTGAAACTTTTTCTGCCGAATTGAAAGCTAAGCCTGATGAAATTATAAATATGAATGAAAATTTCATATAATTCTATCATATTGCACTTATCTGATAACATAATAAGACGAGTGGAAATTGCTAAAACTCCTAGAGCTTTATGGGCTGCATTAGATGCTTTGTTTTTGACTAAAACATTGCCTAATAAAATCTACCTTTTAGAGAAACTCGTTAGTTTTAAAATAGATATAGGGAAAAACTTAGAAGCTAATTTGAGTGATTTTAGCATCCTAGTTAAGAGCCTTACTCATAATGATAAAAAATCTGAGGATGAGGATTTTGTGGTAATCCTTCGTAATTTATTGCCTAATTTTTATAAAGATATTAAGAATGCAATAAAATACTCAAGAGACAACCTAACACAAACAATTGTTACTAATGCTCTAAAGTCTAGGAAAGTGGAGGTCAAGAGAGAATTTAGGATAAGTTCAAGAGAGGAGAGTATGTTTGTAAGAGGAATGGCTGAGAAGAAGAAGAATAACTTCAACAACGGAAGATCTAAACTGAAATCTAAAACTAGATCTAAATCAAGAGATAAAAGCAATAAGAAGTGTTACATTGTGGGAAACTAGGTCACTCTAAACAAGATTGCTTTTAATGGAAGAAAAAGCTAAAGGATCAAAATATTGGGAAATTGAATAATTCTTCTATTGGTTCTGAGTTAGATAGTCTACTTGTAATGATTGTGTCTAATGAAGAAGTTGATAAGGACTGGATCTTGGATTTAGGGTGTACATTCCATATGTGTCATAATAAATCTTTGTTAAATAATTACAAATAAGTTGAACCTAGGAAAGTGTACATGGGTGATAATAACTCTTAAAGTGTTATTGGTATTGGTGACATTGCCATCAGGATATATGATGGCATTGTCAGGCAATTGAAAAATGTAAAATATGTCCCAAGCCTGAAAAGAAATCTCATCTCAATGGAAATTCTTGAAGACGAGGAACATTCTTTCAAGTTTGAAAATAACACTTTGAAAGTTATGAAAGGATTTTTGGTAATCTTTAAAGGACTAGAAAAAAATGGATTGTACTATCTAATGGGGGAGGCTGTTGTTTATCAAGAAGCTAAATCTTTGAGCATAATTGAAAACAAGTTAGAATTGTAGCATAACGGAATGGGACATGTAGAAAATAAGGATCTCAAGTATCAAGTGACTGAAAATTACTTGGCAAAGATATGATTGAGCCCCTTGAATTTTGTGAAACATGTGTGTTGGGAAAGTCACATAGGGTGAGCTTTGAGCACACGCCTTAACAGAATGGGGTCGATGAAAGAATGAACAGAACTCTAATGAACAAGTTTAGATATATGCTATATCTTTTAAATTGATCTCCATGTAGTTCTGTTGAATTTAAGACTCCACAGGAACTTTGGACCTGTAAGCCCCCAACCCTTTCTCACATTAGAATGATTGGATGTGCGGCATATGCCCATCAAGTTGAGGGAAAGTTGGACCCTTGAGTTACTAAGTGTGTTATGCTTTGGTACTCGACAGGTGTGAAGGGATACAGGTTGTGTGTATTGGTTGTGCAGGGCATTAAGTTTATTAATTGCTGAAATATGGTATTTAATGAATAAAAAATGCCATGTACGAAATATTAAATTTATAATTTAAAAGAGCAAAATAAAGATACTTCTTTACGGAGTGAGATAAAGCTAGCAAGGTTAAACCCCGCTCAAGTTGAGAGTATTGAAGTTGGCATTCAACAACTTGATGAAAATGTTGCTCAAATTGAGGTTGGGACTAAAATTGAAAGTCCAAATGTTCCTACTGTTGAGACAAGTGTTCAGGATTATCAATTGATTAGAGATGGAGAAAGGAGACAAGTCAAACAAAATCCAAGGTATGAAATAAATCATTTGAATGACTTTGCCTTTATCTCTGGCGAACTCTAGAACTTTCATCTTATGAAAAGGCCATGAATAGCTTTAAATCTGAGAAATGAAAAGATGCAACGAAAGAAGAAATGAAATCTTTACTTGTAAATAATACATGGAAATTAGTAAAGAAACTTAAAAATCAAAGAGTTGTTCAATTCAAGTGGATTTTCGAACTGAAGGATGGGATTACCTCATCTAACCCTTTGAGATATAAAGCTTGTAGCCAAAGGCTTTACTTAAAAAAGAGGGTGTTGACTATAATGAGATCTTTTCTCCGATTGTCAAATACAAGAGCATTAGATTGATTTTTGCACTAGTTATTCAATTCAATTGAGAACTTGAATAATTAGATGTCAATATGGCTTCTTTACACGATGAGTTAGATGAGGAGATCTATATAAGTCAACCCTAAGGGTTTAAGGTGAAGGAAAAGGAAGATTATGTTTGTAAGTTGCAAAAATCATTGTATGGGCTCAAACAAAATCCAAAGCAATGGTTTATTAGATTTGAAACATATATATTGAGAGATTGATTTCAAAAGAAGTGAATATGATCATTGTCTATACTACAATAATATAGGGTTGGTAGTGAAGTTTATTTACTTCTACGTGTTGATGACATGCTATTGGCCAATTTTAAGACATAAAAATCTTCTAAAGTCTAAATTTGATAAAAAAGATTCAGAAAATGCCAAAAAAATTTTAGGAATGGTTATTAATAGAAATAGGTAAGAGAATATTTTAATTATAACACAAAGTACTTATTTGAACGAAGTTTTGGTATGAAAGAAGCTTAGCATGTGAATGTAACTTTTGCAGCCCATATGAATTTATCATCATCTTAATCACCTTAAACTAAAAATGAAAATGAAAGAACTGAAGAATATCCCATAAGCTAATGCCATGAGATGGGTCATGTTTTTATGATCACTACTGGGCTTGATTTGACTTATGCTATAAGTTTTCGAAGTAGATTCATGTCTAATCCGGAAAAACCTCATTAGTTTGGTTTAAAATGGCTTCTAAAATACATAGTCGGGACATTAAATATGGGATTGATGTTTGAAAATAGATTTGAATAGCTTACGTTAAAGGGTTATCTAAACTTGAATTTTGATGGGGATAAAGATCAAAGAAAGTTTACTATTGCCTATTTTTTCGCACTTAGTGATAACTGCATCACATGGAAGTCACAACTTTATTTTGTTGTCACATTATCCAACACGGAGGTTGAATATGTGGCAATTACTAAATCTATAAAAGAATGTATCTGATTAAAGGAAATTTTGGAAAAATTAAATTTTTTGCAAAAGTCACCTATAATTTTCACTGATGGTTAAAGTGCTTTGCTTCTATGTAAAAATCATGTTTATCAAGAGAGATTTAAGTACACTGAGGTGAAGTATCACTTCATACGAGAGAAAATTGCACGTAGTGAGATTATACTTGAAAAAATTCATACTAATGTGAACTCATCCGATATGGGAACCAAAATTCTAACTAGTAGTAAGTTTAAATCTTGTTTATCTTTATAAAATATTGATACAGGTTAATCTTTTGCAGGTACCTAGGGCAATGATATACGGTAAAATACTGTCAAGCGCAATGTAGCAACTAGAGAGAGCGAGGGGTTTGAGAAAACAAGGTGAAGATTGTAAAATTGCGTTTTCAAAAATCAAGAACCCGTTTTATAAGTGGGAAAACATTTTTTTAACTTACAAGTCTACTGGCTATCTCACTATCTCCTAAATCTGTGTTTGTTGTTTACTCTTCTAGACCGTTGATCTGATCTAACGGTGGAGGCTTAAATGAAAATGGTCTTGACCCTTGGGTTTGGCTATAAACAGTTTGAAGGGGTTCATTTCATTTTCTTGGTTTTCTTTTCTGAGTTTCTGGCATTTTTGGTCTCTCTAATATCATCACCTCTGATTTTCAGATCCGTGGTTCGTTCTTTGTTGTAAATCAAATCTTTGCCTTGATTTGTGGCCTTTGGTCTGTTGTAATCCCAGGCTTGTGTATAGTGTTCGTGACAGGAAGTTTTGAGGCCTTTTTTGGGTTGGTTTTGAACTGTAAAAAACTATTCTACACTTGCGTCTTGGTCTTATGTCGGTTAGATAGTGTTATTGTGAGATTTGTTGTAGATTGATGATCTATTTATTGAGTCAATAATCTGATTGTTGTTCTCTAATCTTAAAACTCTTGGGAGAATCTTGCACATAGTGATGGACTCTTACCTTTGAGCCTCTCGAGTAGTCGAACTAGATGACCAATTTCTTTTTGTTGATTATTTACTGTTTTCGTGGGTTTAGTTTTCTGAATATTGCTTTGATTGGGTGACAATCCCAACACAACATTTAATCCTTGACCACATGTAATGCTTCCAATGGGGCCATGTAGAAGTACTGCGTGCATACACGTAGTAGTCAATTAAGAAAAAAGAAAGGGATATTGGCAGAGGCACTATTGTTGAAGTATTGTCATCATTTGGTCAAAGCGCTTTTCTGCCTTTTGCTGAACTCGTTCACACCTGTGGTCCATGGTTCTCAAGAGTAGGTTTGATAAGTATATCTTTAAGAATGATTGATGTGATGTCCTCATTAAATAGATATTAAGAATGCCAGCCTAGGAGTGTAGAGCAGTTGATCCCTTGTCAAATGTCTGTCAGTATAATTAATGTGAGATATGATGATGTGAGACCTGGGTTTAGCAGATAAGACCACGTGGATTTGAACCAACGATGATCACGTCGGCATGATCACTATAAATAGCAATTTTTGTAACATTTGAAGGAGATGGATTTTTATACATACTAGTCTATTGCCCATGCGATGCACAGGCGATATTATTTTTAAGGTAATATTAGCGTAACAAAATATTGCATTGCATTTGTCGTTTCAATACTTTTAAAGGTTCCACGAAAAATTGTAAGCACTTCAAATGTTCAAAGAAGGTTGAGATTTATGAAAATATGCCTAGGCTTTGTGAATGATGGATGGATACATCCATGTTTCCACTTCTAGCTTCCACTTTCAGCTTTTTCCACGTTTCCATGACAAAATTGTTTGTATGGTGACACTTATGGAAAACAAGAATGGTACTTGGCAGACAGTAAAGCTAGAAATTCATCATCATTTTAAATCAAAGGTTCGAAAATTATACCCATTTTCAATTAAAGAGTGCTAAATAATTCTAAATGAAGCCAGATCTAAAACAATTAAGGAGGCTATAAGCCAGATTTCATTTTTAGAGCTACTATTAACAAAAATTTAATAAGTTACGATATCACAATCTATCATCAAGGCATTAAGTTAAGAAGGATTTTAATAATTACTAATATAAAGCATATATAACTTTCACAACATGGTAAGCAATAATAGTACGTTGCAGATCTTGTACTACAAACAAGTGTAAGTGTAATTCAAGAAGGATAGAACATGCTCCGGTTCGTGATTATAGAATATATCAACGTAACATTAATACGCATTACACTAATAAAATGCTAAAATTAGGCCATATCCATTTGAAGCAATTAAGAAAATACATCTGTACCATGTTTGCATTTTCAAACCATTATTTACTGAAAAAGTATCCTTAAGATGTTCAATGGTAACGATGTCCACCGACAAGAATACCCAATTATAGTTTAAAAAGATTCACTGGAAATTAGAGCACAATTGTTGTATCAGAGCTTATGAGCTAGAGATACCAAACTTAGGAGCTCATCATAGAACTGGAGTTTCTCCTACACTCTACCAACATATCCATATATAACTGATACTTGCTGATGTCGTTGCCATAGCTATTGAAGCATTACAAGAAAATTAGAGACGAACATATGAACATGAGAAATTTCACTTCAACAATCAAATAATAAACTGATGTAGAGATACATTAGTGGAATAAAGCAAAAAATCAGAGGTTGCTATGTTCTCTAGGTCATAATATCTTATGATACTGGTTAATATGCAAGAAATGTCAGATTTAACACCTAATGTACATTGGAATTTATTATACTATTGGAAGTTGTTGTATCATAAGATCACATCTATTATAGAAAGCATAAGATTGAGGCTATGGTTCTCTTCAAACAAATTAAGAAAAGATTAATTTACCGCTCATCTTGTAGTACATGGCCCAATACAGAGTTTGTATCCACAAGTCTGCTACAAGGACTACCAACATTAAATACATGCAAAAAAAATGTTTAAATAATATCGATGATCACTTCGAAGAATTTCAATGAAAGCAACATTGCTATTTCAATAAACATAAACCACAATGTATCCCAAAAAATTCATATAAACGCGTCTGCCGAAATAGTTGTGTATCATCAGACCTGATATTAAATGGGGGCATTGAGTGCCAAACAAATACTTCAGCACGATAATTCATTAAATAACATTTATTATTTTTCAGAAGTGACATGGAAAGTTCGCTATGTACAATTTAGACTTTGCCATACTAATGCTGATAAAAATGAAGGACAGTCACTAAGATTAGTCACTAAGATGTGTGTGTATTGAGAACATAATTTAAAAATAAGAAAAGGCATGTAAAACGCACATCAGTCAAACTATTGGTTAAAAAGCAAACAACTTCAAATCTCTTATTTTAATGTACTTTTGTGAATTCTATATAACCGAATGGTGTGTGATTGAAAAACTCATTTTCCCTAAAAATGATTAATCCAATATTATTTTGTAGGCTTGATTGATAGGGCAAAGTAAACAAAGCAGAACAACTTCATCATGCTGATTCAATTTAGTAAACCATTATTGATTAGCATAAACTCGGTAACATTTGCAATATGAGCAATAGCCCTATCGTAAAAGAAAACGATAAAATTAAACAAGAATAATTACCAATAAAATTTTGTTGGAGTGTTTTCAGGAATAATATCATTTTTTGTAGCAACATTTTTGCCAATTGGAGCAAACCATCAAAGAAGACCCAGAGTTCACCAGAATCTGACTCAACTTGTAATTTTCCATCATCAAAGTGTGGAACAATATTTATAGATATTAAAATAAATATAGAAGTAGCATCTATAAAAAGACAACTGTATAAAAGAAAATAGAATTACAGCCATAGCAACTAAAAGAGTTCTTACTTACAATTGCAACATCACACGTCCCTTCATGATATTTCACTTATAAAAACTGAATTACTTCTAATGCGTTGGCCCTTTCGTGAATATTGGAGCTTGCACCGTTGAACTGATATATCTTGTTTTTAGTGTCCAGCATAAAAAATCATCATGTCCAGAACAAAATGTTACTGCGATACTTTGAAATCTCTCTTGTTAAGTAGTGTCTCATATTTGCCACCGAAGAACCTACATTTATTCCAATGTATAGAAATATTTAAAATAAATAATTTTGAAGCTATGAATACAAAATTATAGATTGAATTTTGATACAAGAATCTTACTGTATTTTAATAATTTTACTGAATTTTCATAATTTGTTATGATTAGGACAAACATGGACGTAAAAAATATTCATTGTGATAGATATCCGTGACAATCTTTCATCTGTATAAACATATCTTCTCTGGCGAAACTGCTTCTAATGGATATCCGAAAACGAAGCATTCAATGTATTTGAGAAGGAAAACTCCAGAATTTGGCCTATAGAAAAAATAATTTGAAGTTAGTTTATGTTAATGTTGTAAATGTAAAATAGAATTAAATGGAAAATTAAATATTACAGTAAATTGTTGAGATACTTACCCATTATTTTGACAAGATAGATGCGGTATGATTTCCAATTTCATATGCTTATTTCTATGTTTTCTTAAAGTTGGTTTGTCGAAGAAAATGTCTGTAAATACCAATAATGATTGTACTACAGTCAAAATTGGTTCTGCACGTAATTTAATTGCGTCCGGTGTATGAATGTTGTGGCTGCAATCATATACAAGAAATTTCCACTTTTGAAAGTCGACAAGAAAAAGAAACCAAGTGTTGCCTGGATATGCGAATAGAATCAATAAATAGTTGTATGTTATCCACGGACGAGCATATATAAGTAATTCTCCTTTTATGTATTGTTGTAATGCATTCAAATTACTTGCACACTGGGCAGCTCCTCCTTTTATAATTGTATACCAATGAACACATTCATTCTCGAATCTAAGTCGAGTATTACGAAAATTGAGATCAACAGTAACTTCATGGTATGGTAATCTAGTGATTAGACAAAATTCTTGTAGGCCAAAACGGGCTCCATGATCGTGTAATTGTACCCAAACTTCGTTATTTTTACCGCAGTTTATAAGTCTCATTATGAACTCATGTATTAATTTGCTGCTAAATTTTTCATTTTGCTTTTTATACATACTTCTGCAAATGAATCCATGGAATGGACTGCACAATAATGAAGCTTGATCATCAGCATCTATAAGTTCTACAAAATCTTTAAGATATTGATGATTTGCAAATTGAGTAATCGTAGTAGAGAACCATTGATTTGGAGATAATATGTATTCTAACGACATTTGCAAAAATTATTAAAAAAAAAAACTATTCATTAGTCAACAAATTAATTCATATACTAATCTAACATAATTGTTTAGAAGCTGACAAATTTTTTTTGTTATGATGAATGATATTTTACGTACTACAACTTTATTAAAAATAAATTTAAGATTATATCTATACTACTTGAAGCATTGTTTTTTGTCGTTGATCTGAAACTATACATGTATTGTAATGGAAATGATAGCTACTCACATTTTCATATTTGAAACTTAATAGTACAATATATAGATGGAAACAATATAATTTGCACTATGATTAATATACAGTTTAAATAAATAAAATTTGTGAACTTTAATAATTACGCAATATATTTGAAGAAAATGTTATATAAGAATTTATGAAATTGGAATAAGTCAATATTGAGCGGAGAAAAATAATTGTAAAAAATAATATTAAAAAAAACAAAATATAACTATAAAAATAAGTAAAGTCAATTACAGAAATGAATAAAAAAAATTCTCTGTCGACATACAAGAACAAAATTATATAATAATCATTTCAATACTTTCGAACAAAATAAATAAATTTATATAATTAAAATTCAAACAATATATAATGAATTTGATGCAATTCAGTGGTTTTTGTATTTACTTTCCCTACCTTTCTCTATTCCTACACTGTAAGAATGAATATGTTATTACTGTTCATTTGTAAAGTATTTCCATTTTTCCATTTTATCCTTCAATTCTATTTTAATTTTTCAACTTAATTAATATATCACTACTACTACAAAATTAATTTTGTAAATAATCTGATAAATTTTTTTACGTGGTTTAGAAAATTTCATGATAAACTTTTAAATTATTTTTAATGTAAAAAGAGACATCATTTAAAAAATTAAAAATTTCGATAACAAGCTAACTTTAAAAATTTATCGAAAATTGTTTGGTAGTCGAATCCATAAATATTTTATATTCTCTCAAAACTCATTTCGAAAATTATATCATAGACACATCGAATGATTTAAATGAATATCGAAAATAGTTAAATGTATATCAAACGTGTGTGTTAAAAAATGCATATAACTCGTTTTTTCCTTAAAAAATCAATTATTTTTTATTATTTTCACGAGATAATTTTCTTAATACAGTTTACATCATTTTTTTTATAAAAAGTGTATGAAGTCAAAATTTTTTTAAAAATATTTAGAACGATAGAAAGTAAGAGAATAACTATAATTGGCGATTTGAAAGGAAAAATAACAGATTCTGACCTCGAAAATGATGCCCACCCGATGAAACTAGGTGGCTAGGATGTGCGCGTCGAAAAGAGCTTTTCGAATTGGGGTCATGAGCGCGATTCTGATAACCGTAGCAAAAGTTATGGCAAAATTACCAAAAATACGTAGAAAAATTAAAATTAAAAAAAAAACATTGAGCACTCTCCGCGGAGTCACACTGTCCGAACCGCTCCGTGCAGTGCGGAAGCAACTGATTCCACACTGCGCGGACTATTTTCGTCAAAATATCACATTAATAATCCATCTATTATTATGTACACAAGGATAAATTATTCAGAATAATGTTAACCTAAAAAACATTTTGATAAAAAAAAAATAAACAAGTCAACATGCCTATCTTAGAATTAAAATACTGTAAAACTTGTTACTTGAACACTGCAAGATTGAGTTTGAACTGGCAAAAAACTTTAATAGTGATCTATAAAAACCTTTTTTGCATTTTGCATGATTTTCCTAATGTAATAGTATTGGTAAATACATATTCTCTATACGATAAATATATTCGAAATCTATTTTTATTGGAAAGAAGATTACCTTTTTTGGTGGTTCAACTTTGTTTGCTTTTGAAAACTTTGAAAGTTGAACAAATGTGTTTCTGTATGAAATGTGTGAAATGTGTCGTGAAAGGATGGTTAAATGATTGAATGTGGGTAGGTAGGTTTTGGATAGTATTATGAATGTTGGTAGATAGATGTTGATAAGTAAATGTCGGTAGTTGAAATGTATAAATGTAAATTGTTTCATTTATTTTTTTTTCTAGTTTTTAATTTTAATTAGGGAGAATGTTTTTTTGGGTGTTTTTCAGTTATGAGTTATTTTCTTTTTGTTCTCGATTTTGTTAAATCATTTTTGTTTTTTTCTTTAGCTATATATGTAGAAGAGAGAGTTTGCATGAAAAGTTATACGTAGTTGTTGATTTAAGTTTATGGGAATATTTACTGAATGAAATAATTGACTGTATAAATTAAAAAATTTGTTTAAAAGTTTATTTAAAAGCTAGGTAAGTAGACTTTGTTGAATAATTACAAAATGAAAAATGTGAGTATATTGAACTTGTGTTTTGAGATACGTAGAATTGAAGAGGAAACTATGTTTAAGTAATAGACAAACCGAAATATGTATTTAAGTTGACTATTTTTTATTTATAGTAAAACAATAGGATATAAGTGGTTAAACGGTTGAATGTAATATGTATCCTGTTGTGAATTATCGTAATATATAATTCTTTCTATGTAAAATCATTTAGATCAATGAAATTGGTTCTTCCTTTCATCCTGACGTTGTCTTTTCTTGATGAATTAGATATCCATATTTGAAAATAAAGCATAAGTGAATTTCGTTTTTTTACAAGCATGCAGTTAAAAGAAAATGAAAAAACAATCAAGAGGAAAATTATGACAAATTAAGCTTTTTATATTTGACTTACTAATGCAGCTGCATAATTTATTTACTTATAAAGAACTTAGCTGTGTGGATTTCAAAACATTTGCAAGAAAATATAGTCATTCTTTTGCTTTTATGTCTGAATTTCATATAGAAAAAATGAAATAAATATTCAAAATGCAAATTGTTTTGATTTGTTTATTTTGGTAGATAGATGTCGGTAGATATGTTGGTAAGTAATATTGATAGTTGGTAAGTAAATATTAGTAGTTGGAGTGTGTAAATTCAAATTGTTTGATTTATTATTATTATTATTTTGATTTTTAATTTTAATTAACTCAATTAATAAAAAAAAATTAGGAGAACCTTTTTTTTTTTTTTTGCTACTTACAATTATTTTCTTTTTGTTCTTGATTTCGTTAAATTATTTAGTTTTTTTTAAAAAAAATAAAAGAGAGAGTTTGCATAAAGAGGAAAGTTATACGTAATTGTCGATGTAAGTTTATGGGAATATTTACTGAACGAGATAATTAACTATATAAATGAAACAGTTTGTTTAAAAACTTATTTGAAAGCTAAGTAAACTCTATTGGAAGTAAAAAAAAAAAAAAACGTATACATATAAAATTAATTTGAAAAATTACAAAATGGAAAATGCAAGTATATTGAACTTGTGTTTTGAGATATGTATTCGATTAAGTGGAATTGAGGAGGAGTTAATGTTTAACTAATAAATAAAGTAAAATATGTATTTTAGAAGACTATTCTTTATTGATAGCAAAAGAAGTTTTATCTATTAGTGTCAACCACGGTACGAGTACAATTTTGTGATTTCAGAGTGAGTATTTACATTTCTAACAACAAAAAGATACCAAAATATTTAAAGCAACCTGTTCTGTTTGGAAACCCAAAATCATATAATTGAATCTAACCGAAGACTCATTAGTCTACTGGAGATTTATAGATTAGGTTGCTTGTAGAATCACAGAAGTGGCCACAGTTAGATTGCCTACTATCCCAAAACAAAACGAATGTGAATCTTTCGAGTTGAGGTTTATCTAGAGCTAAGGACATCAGTATCTTCAACGTGTTCATCAGTCTTCATTTTCTTCTTGGAACGAATTTCGGTTTTTTGGTCTCGAGTTTGAAAGAGAGCCCTCTTTGCATTTGGTGTAGGTACTTCATCGGTGTTTGTAGAATCTTGATTGTCTGTCATGTACATCTTCTCTTTACTTTTTGTAGACGTTTTGTTCGAACTATCGTCAGTCGTTGCAGGAGAAGAATCCAATTCCATGATTGTATTTGAAGAATCAACGTCAGTCGTTGTTGAAGAGTTGAATATGAAGATAATTTCATATCAGTATTCAGGTGGGTTTTGGCTTTTTGGTGTTACTTTTAGGTAAAAAAAGCTGTTCTTGTTCGTTCTCAACTCTTATGAGATCTTTTAGTTGTGTATCCACATCCTGGAATATTCAAATTGTACTCAAGTGTAATGTGTTGAAGTATATGGAAATAATTACTAAAAATTTAGTAGTATTTGGAGTTAACCTTTTCAAAATGGTTCATAATTTCGATGGCACTTGCTTTCAGTAAAGTTTATGTCGTTTCTCCTATCATGGTTGCATCCAAGCCTCCAGATTTGTCTTCAATATGTACAAAAGCAGCTACCCTATAAAGTGAAGTAAATTAAATTACATACTAAGTTTTGTTGAAAAAAGTGTTGTTTTCAATAAATAGTTAAATATAGGTTTAGAGGTACATGTTACCTTGGTATTGCTTTTGCATGTTCAAATTTGCAGAAACGACACTTATGAATTTGTCCCAAGTCTGCACTTGACGTTTTCTTACAATTTCTACATGCCATATACCAAAACCTTTGGTTCATTGAAGTAATTTTCATTGCACTTTGACCCAATAGAATTTTTTCTGCATACGAAACGTTTCTACGTGGTTAGATGAGAAATATAGTAATAAGAAAAATTGTAGATTTTTTTAGCATTGGTCAAAGAACATTATATATATATATATATATATATATATATATATATATATTTAATTAAACGTTTTTGAAATTACTCCCAAATGGACTCCTTGTAAGTCGGCAATTGGTGTGAATTTATTTTCGTGTGGAGGTGAAATTTTGGGTGGCGTCACTGCAATAGATGGCTTATCTTCGATTAGCTTGTCAAGCTTTTCTTTGTTTGTTTCAATCCTGCATAAATAAAGCAAACAATTAAGTGTGAGATTTACTACTGTAAATGATATTTATGAAGTTAGGAAAATTGAAGAAATTTCTTAGTTCTGCTTGATAACCATTCTTTGTAGTCTGTGACAGCTACAATTCCAGGATTAATGAAAAAAGTGTCGTTGACTTTTGTAGAAAGCATAACTCCTAAAAAAAATTTCAATAATAAAGTTAGTGTTTATTTTACTTAAAATATAAATGTAAAGGAAATATTATATTTCTATTTTTTTACCGTTGTATGAAGAAACCTTTAAATTAGTCGCCCATATGATTGGTTTGCTTCCGATGTTATCAATTATTGTAACACAATCATTTTCAACAAAAGTGTCCCACAGCGTTAATATGACCGTTTCGAAAGATTTATCTATAAGCACAACATCTTGAAGACATGCTTGTGTGCCAAACTGGGTTTGGATAATTCTTTTTTGACGAACTTCTATAGCGATGCCTATAATACCTGTAACAAGGAATTTGTGTTGATATCATATTTTGTATATGATAAAATGAATATAAATAGAACGATTATAAAATGTTAACTAAATTTATATTGGCTATAAGTTAGTGTGTTTTTAATCATACTTATCTCTGCATTACTATCCATGTATCGTTCTAGTTTGTTGAATGCGGTGAGTTCATATCTCAAGAAGAGAACGTTTAAATTATCCTCATTAAGTTCTTCTATCTTTGTTTTTGCTGTTATGGTCCAAATTTTGTCTTGAAGTGAGCCTTTGAACTCATTTCCGTTGTCTTTCACAGTTGCATTTGATAACATGTATGTTTTCCCTAGTGTTTGCTCATCTGCAAGGGCTGTAATATTTGCATCATAGATAATGGCAGTAACTTTGTTACCCTGTTCAAACGTGAAAACAAGTTCAATATAAATATATTAGCAAAACTAATATTTAGAACAGAAATGAGAAGATTTTAATAGTTATGAATATATATTTACCTCAAAATCCATTAAGAGAAGATTTTGGTAGCGGCTAACGGTATTTCGAGCAGTTTTAGGTGCTTGTTTTCCCGTAACTATGATTTTTGCAGTCCAATTCTTCTCAAAAGTGGAAATCTGTGGGATAATTTTATAAAATGTGGCCATTTTTGATATCCTATGATTATGTGAAGAAGAAGTTATAACACAGATAGCTACGATTGTCAATGTTACGTTAAATTTGTTGTAAAAAAATTCTATTAATATTTCTAATTCTAAAAAAAATTTATCGAATAATCTAACGTTCTTCTTTTCGATTAAAAAATAATTATAGTAAAATGGTAGTAACGTGCAAAACTTACCAATAATAAAATGAAAATGGAGTTTTTAAACTTTGGTAGTTGCAGTTGAAGAGTGTAATGTTTATGATACTGTTGTAGAATTTTGATGTTGAAGGAGAAAGTGAAGGTACTATAAAATAGTTAGTCGAAAGAAGATATTAATAGAACATGCGGTAGAAGAATCGTTGTTTTAATTTGCAACCATACACTTGGTGCTATAAAATATCTTTTTGTGTGGATGAGAATTAAGCTAAAAGAAAATTTTGATGATGGTTTTGTGTTTAAAAGTTTTGCGTGGAAAGTTGGTACTATTTTTTATCATCGCGTAGATATATATGTAGAGTTGAAAAGCATTTTATGGGAAGTTGGTATTTTTCTGTGTTAGTTTTTTACTGGTGCACGTGTTCATTTTAAAAAATATCACTTTACAATTTGCTAAAATTTAATAAATGGTGTTAGATTTACAAATTAAAAGAAGGATTGTTAATCCATATGTTTCAAATACGAGTGCTTTATGCACAAGAAATTTATTAAGGAACTTTATTAAGGAACCTGTGGGGATATTCTAGTCAAGCATCTTAACCTATATTATCATAGGTCTTATCAGGTTAATTAATACTATCGTTATTGTTTGTCCTTTTTCTTTTATTTTCTCTTGGATTGATGTCTTTTGAAGAATTATCGTGTTCATTTATTACATTACTAAGAAGAAAATTCAATTTATGGTCGAAAAATGTATGAATTGTATGAGATGCATTAGCTTTTAATTAAGTGAAAGACTAAATAGAAAACTCCGGAAGCCAGAAAGTTGGAAAATATAACAAAGCATACTATGATTAGATTCTTATTTTACAACTTTAGTTCTTGTATGAAAAAAAGTCTAACTTAGGAGGAAAAATAAATTGTATATCATAATACCAAAACTTGTAAAAGAACAAAATGATACTTATTGAGTATTTAACAATACTCTTTCATAGAAAGATAATCTTTTATGTTACAGCTAAAGAAACGCTTTTATATACTTAAAAAGTATAAAAAGAAATTTTATAAAATTAAATATATTTCTTTAAGGCATCCAGACTTTTTACTATTATGTCTGTCCCCTTTCATGTTGAGAAGTTTTGCTGGACTTATCCTGTGATAAAAAAAAAAAAGAAAATATTTAAATATACTTGAGCATAAGAGAAGTAAAACATGAGTTTAAAATTTACTGCATAATCTTGTCTTCAAATACATAATTAGAGCTCCTTATCACTTCTGAAACAAAAGCAAAAGGCTTTCTAGGTAGACCTAATATACTTTTTAAAAGAAAAAAAAAATATTTAATCTTCAACAATTCATATCTTCTAAATATTAACTATAGTAGCTATTCTATAGCATGAAATATTAAACACTTGAGTAGCGTTTATAGTGTGTTTTAGGCCAATACACAAGTTTTAATGTTCAACAAAAATAATAGTAGAAAGATAATAGAAATTTGTATACTTTCCTTCATTATTACCTCTTTAGTTTTCTCACATAAGCTTTTAATCTTCAAACACAAAATAATAAATATCTTCAATATGTAATACATATTTTAATTGATAATATGATAAAGCATATTAATGTGACCTGATGCATACATGTGCTCATGCACCAAATAAAGGATAAGTACAGGTAAACCACGATAGAATATGACAAAATGTTGAAGACTAACATCATAAATAACGACATGCATACTAATTCTAATGCTTGTTTATTAACTGAGAACACCAAATCAGTAATACCTGATCTACCAATGCATTTTCCACTTAGCAACAGGAACCACATGAATTCAACAAATGGTTAACACCAAGCTTTAGATAGACTTACCAATAAATTATCGTTTTTATCATCATGCCCAATAATATTCTTTATCAGCATCTCCCTTGCAGTTGAATCACCACACTGTAGACATTTTTCAACAACATTTGAAGTAAATTTATGCTGGCTCAGTTGTACTATAGATCTAGTTCTTGTACTAATAATTTGGTTTCTTTCATGAGGTTTTCCCCTCTCTAGTACATGCTGTCATTAGTTAAAACCAATATAAGCAGCATGCATGAATAAAAAACTGGAAGTTTGAATTGAAACTTTACAGTGTGAAAACAATTTCATCATTTCACTAATAAATTTTCATTTCAGTCATCGTGGAAAAAATTCTAAATTGTAGAACCAACCTTAAACACAAAAGAAACTTATCTAAAAGCTTAATGATGGAGACGTGTAATGATTTAATCTTGACAATTTATCAAGTTTAGAAACTTATTTTTAGAAAAGCAATTAGGGTTTAGTTTTTTGCTATTGTTCTTAGAGAATTTAAATGTAGACGAATATCAAGTAAAACACAAATAAATACAAAAAGAAGAATGAAATTAGTGTGAAGTGTATATTATTTGAAGTCGTCATATTTTAACTATGATTATTTCACCAAAATAGTTAATGAAAGTGAAATGGTCTTTGAATATAATAAAATTAAGATACGCTACGAGATATGTGAAACTATTAACACATATATCTAAAGATTTAAACAACTCACTAAATATTACTAAACATCCGAGCTCAGCGACATCTGTGTTGATAATGTCTGCTAATGAAGAAAAAAAATTTAGTGGAGTAAATGAAAACATTATTTTTAACCAAAGCTTTAAGTTGAAATAATTCAACTAACCTAAAAAGCTAATTGTACACGTAGAAAAAATAAAAAATAATAGATTAAAACTATATAACATCTCAAAGAAAAATGCTATATAAATCAATATGTATATATATATATATATATATATATATATATATCAATTCCATTGAAAAGAACTCAATTCCCTATTAAACCATGCTTTACAACTTCACATTAGCTTGATCAAATCCTTAAAAAAATTTGTCATTGCCCTCAGTCACCTAAATGCAAACATAAATAACTAATTAGCAAGTCAGTTTTATTAGAGTCGTCATGATTGAAGTATATTAATTTAGATTATAATTCAGTTGGTGATTCAAAATATAAAAAACTTGAATTGTTGCGGAATTTTTTTAGATTTTATATAAAGTTTAGTTTTAATAGCAAGTACAACAACAATAAGGCTTTGTACAAGAGCATTGATGCTTAAATTAACTATTTGAAAGAATGAAAAAGTAGTTGATTTAACAATTCATATTTGTGCTGTGTATCCAAATATACATATGTATTCATTAAATAAGGAAGCAAGTTTATTGGAAAATAAAAAGTAATATATTATCTAATAAATCAAAATGCCAAGAAAATGCAATACAATAATTGAATATCACTTTAAAGATTCTTATGAAAATGAGAAAAGTGTGATCATCGCGTTTAAAGCCAGACATGCAGAATTTTCCAAAGACAAATTCAAAAATAAAATATATGTAATTTTTAGTTTAACCAGTATCCATGTAAAGATATTATGTAATGAGAGATTGCACACACTAACAGAGTTTTCAACCTTTCCAATCAGCTCATCAACGGGCAATACAACAATTGACTTATCTTTGTTATTTCTTAGTAAAGAAGATGAAGGATACATTTTGTTGGCACCCATTCCCAAACCGTGCCATGTTTTCTTTGCTATTGCTAGCTGATCACCTAGCAGAGTTTATTAAATAAGGAATCAATCACCAAAAGTAGTGGAAATGATCAAATAAAACATATAATGCTAATAAAACTAACATTAATTCATATGGTCCTAGAAATAATTCATGTTATGCACTCAAGTGACAGTTGACAATAGTAGTCAGCATCATTGTATTGATTAGAATGCCGATATAGAGATTTATCTCAATTTTAAATAGTAGCATTGCTTTCTTTAAGGATAGTACCTCAACCTCATAAAAGACTAAAAGTTGCTTGCTCAACCAATAAACTCAGTTGTTAAATTCTAAATGTAATTATCAACAGCAAAGTTCATACATAAACTGAGTTCAACATGGTTGGCTATATAAAAGGTGTACTTTTGAGTAAACAAGTAGTTCTTTAATTAATCAAAATTAGAATTAACTTTCCTATTTTGCTAGTAAAGTGAGTTATTTTCACAGTAAGTAACTTTTACTTAAGATTAAACGAGAGTAACTTATCCAAATATGTTTGAAAATACTTTTTTCATGTATTTTTAAGCAAGGCTAAGGATGCTCTTAATCTCCTTTAATTGTTACTTAGAAGTCGAAAGATGTAACAATTTTTTGATAAATGTATGATATCATAATTTGCCAAGAATAAATTTTCTAAATAATAATCATCTGCAATTAAAAAATCCGGAAAATAGAAGACAAATCTACGCTTTCTTCTAAATCAAACAGTAAGTCAATTGATTGAGTGTTTAGCTGAGATGAATTTTCAATTAAGCTAGATTCTCGAATTCCTTTTTATTATTTCAATGTTTGTTTTCAGTGCCTTTATTGGCATTAGTCAAGATAATTAGTTTTCAATAACTGATGAAGAATATTTATGTGAAAATTCATATTCATTAAAGTGTGAAACTTTTGAAGGTAAATCTATTCTAAAAATAGAGAAATGACATTCTATTTCCACATTCCACTAAAAAAATTGGTTACCAATCTAGCAAAGTATTTTAACACTAACAAATCAAAATTATACTTTCTGCAAACTTGAGTTTTATTTGAAGTTGTCATTAAGGATTCCATTGTACACATGTAGCAAAGAATTGAAAAGAACTTTTGAATCCCACTCATAGAACCTGTAAATTTTTTTTATAGCAAATGTAAAGAATGAAAAAATAGTAACGTCATATTTTTGCATGCAATTAAAATTTTGAGGAAATCATTATAAAAATTTTTGAATGAAAAAAAAAAATATACCTGTCAATGTATAAAAGAAAGAACTTCTTTGTACACAACATTTTTAGTACATGTATTATGAGAATTGTCTATGCTTGATGGTTTCAATAGAACTTTTAGAGATGTACTCATTTTGCTCTTGATAATGCTACATATAGCTGACCATAGCAGAAAACCGATTTTGGAAGATATAGACTGACAAAATTAAGTGTTTGACCTTGTGCTTTATTTATAGTTATCGCAAAACATGGTCTAATCAGGAATTGAGTTCTCTAAAATTGAATTGAGTTTCTATCACTTCGAAGAGGTATAAAAGGGACCCTTGGTAAGAAAACATATTTTCCACAATATTCACTAGTTGTAATTTCAGCTAAAATAACATTTTTCTCAAATTTTTGACAAGTAAGGCGTGTTCCATTGCATAACCCTTCAGAAGGATTGATATTCCGCAGTAACATTACAGGACAATTTATCTTAAGTTTCAATTCATGCGGTGGAATACCATTTGGTATTAAAGTATTCAATAAATCTTCTTGCAAGCTTTGTTTTGATTATCAATTGTTTCATCAAAACTGTAGCATGTAAAAATTTCACTGGGAATTTGTTCAAGTAAGATCCTATTAATATAATCAACACATTCATTCGTAGGCGTTAGAATAACTCTATTTACCATATCATGTAGATTGTCAGCATATGTTTGTATATTAGGAAAAACATGATGTATCAAAATTTTTAAAGATGTGATTTCATCTTCAAATGATAGAATTATACTATTCGGAAGTATAACGCACTTACAAGTATTTTCTTCTTTTGTTCCATCTCCAATTCTAAGTAAGTAAGTACAGAACATAGGATCTAACTTTGCTCTCATATTCTCAACCAATGGTAAATGTAAATAGGAAGGCCATAGGTCTGAAAAAACCGAGCTAGCTTTCATTACATCTTCTTTTTTCCCTTTCGGCACCACTGGTAGAACTTGTCGAAAATCCTCTCCAAAAACTATCACTTTCCCACCAAAAGGCAAGTTATAATCAGTAATATCTTTAATCATTCTGTTTACAGCTTCAATAACACAACGATTTACCATAGGTGCTTCATCCCAAATTATTAACCTAGACATTTTCAACAACATTCCTAAAGCTGATTGCTTGCTAACAGAGCAGTTCACTTCACCAACTGTTTCCAAAGGAATTTCAAATCTCGAATGAGCTGTGCGACTTCCAGGTAACAAAGATGCAGCGACTCCAAAGGACGCTGTTGCCAAAGCAATGAAATTTTGACTTCTTACACTAATTATAAGAGCTTTGTATAAAAAAAAGTCTTCACTGTTCCCCCTGGACCATCAATAAAGAAAGTACCACTTGATTCATTTTTTATTTTTTTATAACTATATCATATGCAAATCATTGTTCTTTATTAAATTGCTCTACATAATTGAAGCCTCGTTCAATATTGAAATTGATTGTTTCCTCTGCAACCATTCTCGTCAATATTTGAGTCTCATCTATATTTACGAAGAATGAAACTATTCCGTAATCATTTACGTTTTTACCTAATGATTCTAATATAGAATTGATGTCTTCCATAGCTTGGACTTCATCATCTTCAACAGATATGTTTCGATGTACATAATCATCAATCATATAGGCTTTATATTTATCCCACAATAGCTTTGGATGATTAGGGCTGCAAAGTGTAAGAAGTGTTGCAAAAAGGCGTCTTAAAGAATTAGGAATTTTGTAAATAATAGCTTCGGATAGATATTCTTCACAATGATTATCCCCTTTTAACAAATCATGTAAAAGTGCTGCTTCTTGATATATATTAACAGTTACTCCATTTAAAGTTTTAAAACTGTCAAATAATGTTGGACCTCTAATATGATTCAGAAGAACACGAAGGAAATATCGTTCTCCTTCAGATGGATTGACTGTCACAATTCGTCCTATAACAATGTGTTGTTTTCCAGCGGTCCAAACTTTCCCATTTGCATTCCACACAAAATGTGTTGGGAAATCTCGATACAACAATGTTCGAGCAAATTCATTTGCTTTATTCATCCGAAAAAACTCTATTAACATTGTTCTTCTCATATACTCATTCCCAATAATAATAGATAAATCATCTTTATTATTGTAAGTTACGTGCTGATGATCTTTAATATGAAGTTGTAAAGTATAAATAGTAGGATAAATTTTTGACAAATTGAAAGAAAAAATTCTCCACATAGCTTCAGGTGGAGATATCCATCTAGTTGATTGATAAGCAGAAATTTCATCGATTTCCTTGTCCATTTCACTTTTGCCTATGAAACAATTAATACGATCATGTCGTTTATACACATATTTGTAAAAATACATTACTGCTTTAATAGAAGAACATACTTCAATGTTAATATAACAGTCAAATTTTGCACTTAAATAAGGATTATATGGTACAACCCATCGATTATCTAACATTTGACCTCTCACTTTAATAGAAATACCATTATGACGACGTCTATACAATGGATATGAGTTATCACCAAATATTGTACTATTACAATAATCCTTAGGATATTTATTTTTACAATCACTGCTTGCCAACAGACACACATTTTTTGGATTAAGATTTCCACAAGGACCGTGCATATTATGTTTTGCAATTACAGAATGAAGATGCAAGTATTTATTCTCATCGAGAATTTCACATGACATTATCATATCAACTTGTTCAGCGCAACAAATTTTATGGGCAGAATTGAAAATCAACAATAAATGTGCACGAGGAAGCCCTCTTTTTTGAAATTCAATCATGTATATATGAGCAATAACTGGGCCAAAAATATTTTCTTTCTACAAAACCTTTTTTAATTCTTCTAATTTTGTTATAAATATACATGCAATTAAATCTGGTCGATTTTGAACTTCGTCATTGTATTTCAGTCCTTCCATAATTTCAGGCCAATTTGGATTACAAGTTATAGTTAGAAATATATCTGGTTTTCCATGGCGTTGAACGATAGCCATTGCATCTAAATATCTTTTGAGCATATCTCTAGGCCCACATGTGAAAGTCTTTGGTAGAACAATCTTCTTACCAATTTTTGACCCCCTTGTTTCCTCATTTTGAATACTATCTACAATACATTGATAAAGTTCAGCATGAATTTGCTTTTGGTTGCTACGAAAATAGTCTAATTTGGTAGTTTCAATCTTAACGTGCATATCTACAACATATTGTTGAAAAAGTCTACCAGTGTGAAGTAACACAGACTTACCAGAAGGTCTAATTTGTAACGTGTAGGAATAGTACTCCTGACAAGAAACCTGAGATCGTTTCTTCATTCCATTGAGCACTGCATGAGGATAAAAAAAAAGCATCTTACATCCATCTAGAACATTTACTTTATATAAGTTAGAAAACATACAAAAAAGTGTATTAGCAAACCTTTGGCCTCTTTTTCAATGATTTTGGTTGCAAAATTTACTGCGCTAGGAAAAGCTATGCAGTCAGCCAATTTTGAGTTTCAAAATATGTCTTTTGGTATCTTTGAATACCTTCATGCTAACGAGATTCTCCAAATGGAAAAAGTAAAGGATCTTGCAAAGGATCATAACAACCATAATAATAATGAACTCTATGTGAATCACCAGAATGACCATATATAATAATATCACGAGCACGAATATTTGCATTGTCATCATCTTCAACCCATACAGCAGCTACTTGAGATGCCGAAGGAGTATTGAAGACTCTTTGATCAAGTCCAGGATCGCATCTTATTTGTATTCGATGGTCATGCAAATTAGTCATATTACTTAAAGACCTAAAGAATCTACTATATGGATTTACTTTCAAGATTTCAATCAAAATGATCAAAGTAGATTCAACAAAATTTTCTGAAATTTTCATACGATATTCAATTTCGTTATCTGTATCATAAAAATATAACTGCATATAAGAAGACTTATTATATTCTGGCATAAGTTGATTCACATAATGATATACTTGTCCCTTAACTCTGAAAGTGTAAATACCTTTATATGTTCTAAAAAGTTATTTATCACATTTTACACCAAACGAAGTGAAAGCAAAATGGTTATTATATCCACGCGCAATTTTCTTAAATTCCATGCATTCAGGTTCTTTAGAAGTAAATAAATCATACAATTTAGTTGGTGAATCAGACATATAAAGTTTAACTTTTCCATCAGAACAACAAAACTCTTTAGTTTCTCTATAAAATTTTCGTGCACCACAATGTTCACAGTAGTTCCATGTTGGTAATACATATGCATTAGTTGGTATGTTCAATAGGTTAGAAAATCCTCGTACTTTAGAATGAACAATATTAGTCGATTCTTGATTTGAAGTGGAAGCCTGGAAAATATGAGGAACTGTAAACTTCTAAGCATGGGAAGCACCTAAATTATTTTTTCTAGATAGTGTAGAATCATTTATCCTTTTACGGAGATCAACGTGTGGAGTTTGAATTCGATTCCTCCTATCTGCCTGTCTTTGATTTTGTTGTTGGCGAATCAAGGCAGTATATGATTTACTTGTATTTTGAGAAGTACCATCAATGTTACAAAATCTAGATTCTTGATCAGCAGATGTTTTTGAAGAATTCATGGAGAACAAAACTTCACCTCTAATTTAATGAAAAAAAAAATCATTACAGTAAATGAAATAGCAAAAAAAAAAAAATTATTAATACTACTCAATTTCCACAATAGGAAAAAATTTGACAAACACAAATTAATAAAACTTTCACAACATTAAAAACATGCATATAGCTAAAGTTTAATCACAAAAATCGTTTATTTGAATGCAATAGTAATAAACATAAACATTGCTGCCTCAAATATTGATTAAATAAAATTTTAATAAGACTTGTAGGATTTAAATGCAGGAGAAAAAAAACATTACTATTTTCATACGATTTTTGTAAATTGAAGAGTTTTTTTAAACATAAATACTATTATTATTTTGTAAATGTTTTTGCTATACTACAATTGAAGATGAAGAAGAGAAAGACTTCCAAAAAGGAACGAGGTTTTCATCTCTAATTTTAGTGATTTTGCTCCCACCCAATCAACCTACACATACAATATTTTTCTAAATATATAATGTAAGTAATTGATCAAAAATCATGAACTTAATAAATTCATAAGTTGACTACTGGAAGTGCACAAAAGAATAAGGATAGCAATTGAAAGTAATGAAGCAAAAATATACAAGTTGAAAATTGGAAATACGCAAAATAGTCAAGAAAAGAACTGAAAGTTGTATATAAAAATTATTCAAAGATATTTCACATATCACTAAGAAAAATTGAAAAAAATTAGTGTAAAATGGATATTGTTTAAAGAAACTATACCTGAATTACGTAGAAATTGCCGTTACCAAAAGATTACACAGTTGTCCTACATCATCGGAACGTAGAAAATAGCGTCAAGCACATCTGAAATATTATCCTATTTATCTTATGTTTTTATTGAAAGATAAATGCTAGTTAAGATCCACAAAGGATACAAAAAATAGGCCACCTAGTGTCCTCTAGCACTTCATACAAAAGACTACTAACAAAAAGAAAATGTCAATACCATGGCATGCTAACAAATGTATTGTTCGCTTCTCGAAATCAAATAGTTCTTTTAGACATTAAAAGAGGACAACAAACATAACCACAAACTTGTTTGAGCATAAAGTAAATTAACCAATGAAAAATAAAAACAAAAAATGATGGCACATAGTATTCCATATTATTAAGTTTGAAGATTTGATTGTGTCAATTCAAGTTCTTTCTAAAATTCATCATTAGTATTTAGTATCCAACTTTCGATATTCTATTGAAGGTAATAAAAGATTTACATTGATGAACTTATGTCTCAACGACCTCTAACCAAGTATCTTTTTTAATGAAAAAGTATATAACTAAAGTAATTCTGCAAATAAAGATTTCATGTTTCACCGTATATTACAGAAAACCAATTTCCCCCAGCTTTAATTTCTTGTTGCCTTTTTCCACTTCTCCGTTTTTATGACTTTTACTGTTTGAAGTGGTATCCAAATATAAAGATGGTCAAATACTTCCTGTTTTCATTTTTCTTTTGTTCTCGAATCTCGATGAGTTCTTTCTTCTCCCTCTAGAATTAGTAAAGTAAAGATAAGGGAAGGCAAATGATTGAATTAGGTTTATAAGGTTTGGGTAAAAAATTTAAAATCATCTCAACTTTAAAAGCACGAGGCTCAAATTTGAGACCTTGCATAGGAAGTTATGAAATCACATAGTACATACATATTCGAAAATTTTATACATAGAAGCACAAAACATCAATTGGACCAAAAAATAAAAAATAAAATTCAAAACCCTTATTTGAGAAAGATCTCTCCACTGCAGCCTTCGATTCCACGAGATAACTAATGTTATCTAACCTATACACATAAACAGCAAAAAATTTTAGTTCAAATCTACAAAAAAAAATTGGAAGCTAAAATCGTCCATAATCTACAATATAAATAGAAAAGTTTTTTGTAAAAAAATATTACCGTACATGAACGTAAATATGAAATATTGCGGGTGTCTAATTTCTATACTATTTCAAAGATATTTTCTCGTTTCACAAAGAAACGGAGGTAAAGAATGAAGGTAAACAATGAAAAAGAAACACGGTAGAAGAAAACAATTTTCGTGAGAAATGATTTAGATGAAGCAGATTGGAATCCAAATTCACATTATATACAGACAATGACAGACTGCATTTATTATATGAAAATTGAAAAGACCATGACACCCTAACTTTAATAATCATTTTGTCAAAAATACCATTAACTTAATGTTTCACATTATTTTCAATCAATTTTGATATTGAGGATAAAGCGAGAATTCATAACATTTACCAGCACCATGCCATAGAAGTCAAATTTGTAACAAATAATTTTCCTACTCACTGACATTGAGAAATGAATGCGGGCCCACAACAATTGTACAAGGGCGGATGTAGAAACAATAGAAAAGCAGTAGAAGAAGTAGACTATGTGGTTTAGAGAAGAAAGCTTGTCCCATTTTCTTACATGAATAAACTACTGTAGTAAAATCGGATAAATTGGATGAGTGTGAAAAGCAATGTGACATAAATGAATAGTAATATTAAAACATCTCTTTTAAGAGGTAGTAGATATTTCAAAGATGTTTTCTCGTTTCACAGAGAAACAGAGGTAAACAATGAAGAAGAAACACGGCAGAAGAAAACAATTTTCATGAGAAATGATTTAGATAAAGCAGATTTGAATCGAAATTCACACATTATATACAGACAATGATAGACTGCATTTATTATACGAAAATTGAAAAGACCATGACACCCTAACTTTAATAATCATTTTGTCAAAAATACCATTAACTTAATGCTTCACATTATTTTCAATCAATTTTGATATTGAGGATAAAGCGAGAATTCATAACATTTACCAGCACCATGCCATAAAAGTTAAGTTTGTAACAAATAATTTTCCTACTCACTGACATTGAGAAATGAATGCGGGCCCACAACAATTGTACAAGGGCAGATGTGGAAACAGTAGAAAAGCAGTAGAAGAAGTAGACTATGTGGTTTAGAGAAGAAAGCTTGTCCCATTTTCTTACATGAATAAACTACTGTAGTAAAATCGGATAAATTGAATGTAGTGTGAAAAGTAATGTGACATAAAT